CCTTTGCAAATTGCACGCTCTGCATGCAGAGAGTTTTCGCACTTGCTTGACTTGTAAAGTAGGCATCTATAGATGGCCTCCTGCTCTGTAGCTGTGGTTATCTCTCTTAGGCTTTGGCTGAACTCACCAAGGTTTTTTTCCTGCGATTGGTTACTGTGCCCTCAGAGCCACCAGCATCATGTGTAGCTAATTCCTATCTCAGTGCTGTCAAAAAGTGGGATTATTTGCTTATCCCTTGAATTTTTGTTTGCTTATTTTTAAGCTTGCATCATTTCCACAGAAATGGGTAGAAGAAGTTCTATATGTATAGGTGCTCTGTCAGATCTGTGAGTATGGTATCCTCTGCCCAGGAGGCACTACTGATGTACTTGGTTAAATGGTGCTTAATGGGGGGTTGTTGCAGTTGGAACAGTACATCTAACTCCAGCCTTAGCTATAACTAGTGAAAGGTGTACTGAGGATGCACGATGAATTAGACAAGGGATTTATCTTGAATGAGGAGGAGCAAATGTGAGAAAGATGAAACAGTTAGTTTTCTCATTCCTGGATCACTTTATGGGAACAGTGCTTTAGGAATACAGTGGGACTCCCTTCTGCAAAACTTTCACTTGCACTCTGTGGAAGAGTAACATGGAAGTGTAACACAAGGCAGGTTCAGTAGTGCTTAGTTAAACCCGCTAACATTTTTCTTAATATGCTCAGTCATTAAGACTGCGACAGAAACTAGCTTAGCCTTGTCTATTCTCTTCTCCATTGGTGCTGTGACATAAATAAAAAATTGTGGTTTCAATTTGAGGTTCAGGAGGTTTCTAAATATATAAACAACTTTAAGGAAGGTGTAGAAATGTGATTTAAATAGACACTGTGTTTTGCTTGGTTTTCTTTCTTTAAATGATGTTATTATGTAAAATATTACATTCATATTGGTCTCAGCATTTTTAATGCTTTCATTAGTATGGAAGGTGGTAGATAAAACCATTGTAATTTTGTATGTATAGGTGCAGTAGGCTGACATGAAGCTGGTAAAAGAAGGGAAAACCTGTAGTTTGTTTGCCTGCAGGTATTCTAGGTAAGCAATGGCACTACAGAGGCGGTAGTGAAATTATTAAGTAATAGTGAGTTTGTAAGTTTTAGTACGATCACTTGGGAAATAGGGCTATATGGGTAATTCTACAAATACTGTGTCCTGCTAGCGAGCTAGTCACACAGCCATGAGAAGCTTGTTGTGGGACTTGGATTTCTATGTAATAAGAATTATCTGGTGCCTGTGGATTCCTGTAGGTTGTTGGTGGTGGTTATTTGATTAAGAGGAATTGTGATCCACAAAAAAGCTCCACTTCATCTGTCATAACGGAGCGACAATTTCACTCTGCACTAGTGTCTGTCCTCTCTTTTACCGCGGACAATTGGTATCTCCTTAAAAACTTACGTAAAGAGAAATTAAGCTTTGCTTAAAACCAGACGTATCTAAAACTACTTCTGCAGGAGGCTGTGACAATTCCATGTTGGTTCCACAGCTGGGAATTAATGAAGTGTCAGAACTGTAGATAAGTACATAAAAAGCTCAAGGAGGAATTAATAGTGCTCTGAATCAAGTCTCTCTGTTCTTCACACTTTAGCTGTATATCTAATTCCAGAATTGGTCCAAAGTATAAGAATCTGAACATTTGCGATGAACATACAGTTGTTCATGATGGATGGTCACTGAACAGCTGGAAAGTGGTTTGTCATTTTCCATTAGGATCTTCAAACCTATCTGAAAGCAGAGGATAATGTCTGTGCTGAATGTTGAGGAGTTCTGCACATGTTGGTTTTAGTATTGTCGTGTTCAGATGCACAATGAATTTTTTCCTTCACTGCCAGTCCTGATGAAGTGAAACAGGCATGGAATGGCATGGAATTCTGCATGTGAAATTCTGCACCATCCTGTACTTCAGAGCCTGTTACTAGTTGTCTACAGGAATATCTATATTATAAGATGAGGTGGAGGTAATAATGTGCATGATGATAATGTGAGGAGACACTTTTTTTACTAAATACCAAAATGTAATGACTATAGTTAGGACAAGGAAGTGAAATATTTCTGTTTATAGTAAAAAGTATTGACAGCCTTTCTCAATGTTAATTAAAAATAAGTATTTTTTATTTCTATTTCTGTAAACATGGACAGAAGAAGATAACAACTAGTTTTAATTCTTTGAGAAAGAATGAATGACTACTGTGCTGTTGGGATCCCTAGTAAGTTTGATAGGTATCCTTAATTCTATAATTGTGTTTTAAAGGTATGTACTAATATGCCAGACCAAGACAATTTTTTTTATGATACAAATTGAATATTAAAAAAATAATTGCCTAATATACAACACAAAAACAGCCACTAATACAGAAATCTACCGTGGTTAAATTACATTTCAAAAATATGAGCCTTTTATGTTCTGGAAGAGCAAATGGCATATGGTACACATCATATAATCAAAACAGCCAAACTGCTTTCCAGAGAGGACACTATATGCTGGGCTCCAAGGAAGGCATAGATAGATCTGCAAAATGTGGAATTCTGATAAACTTGTTTTCACTACACAAGCAAATCTCTTCTGCCTGGAGTATCAAGGTATGTTTCCATCTTGTTCCTTAGCAGCATCTGTAGTAATAATTTGAAAACAAATATAAAATCTTTGTAGAATTGCTGCACACATAAAGTTAATCTGCTTGAATTTTTAATTGGTGGCTTTTGATAATTTTCAAAGCACCAAAGTTCTATAGGAGCCTGGTTCACATCAAGTTTCAGGAAGATTTCAATATGAAGTGCTATAGGAGCCTGGGTCACATCAAGTTTCAGGAAGATTTCAATATATATTTTTTTTTTCCCTCAGCCTCACTCAATCTTGAAACGCATCCTTGTGTAGTTGGTTTAGGGTTTTTAATCTTCTTTTAAAAGTTATTCATAGGAACACACCACTGCAGTTTAAAAATGTTATTGTTTTAAGAAGTTAAAATGGCATTTGAAGGCTATCTTAAGATAGTGGTGCTGTGCTAAGAGGAAAGATGGCTTGAGAAACACTTCGTTTGTTTTCCATGATTTGCTTTTGTGTTCTTCTGCGTAGATCTTGATGACAGTGGAAAAGCTAATGCTTTATATGCATGGTACAGACCTTTCACTATTTGTAATCCACCAGAAGCTTCTTTGTGGTGTTCTTTAACTTTCTGTCACTTATTCAATGTTTTGCCTCGATACTAAATAAATCTCACCTTCTCAAACTATATTGCACTTTCAGTTTAGGTTATTTATTATTTTTATGGTGTACAATGCATGCAGTGTGTCGATTTGCACTTTGCTGAAGAGAGGTAGCCGTCTGCTGCTGCTTCCTCCTCTTCCTTCAGTGGCAGGTGGATTTAGAGTGAAGGATTTACCTCAACTGATTTGGAAATAGCTGTTTAGTTAGCATGCACTACAATTAGCAGAAGCTTAATTAGGTGTTAATAAGGAATTATTCATTGTCTTTAGATGTATGGTCTCTTGATATTGTGTTCTGTATAGTAATCTGGCATTTGTATACAAGTTGGACAGTTATGTCCAAAATAATATATACATATGCATATTTTATATTCAGTACAATCTATCAAATACCCAGTGCTTGTGTGTTCTAAATTCTGTTCTTGAATTTAAAGTCGTCCTCTTACCCCTGTTTCTTTCTCACAGGGATGGCCATTTTCTCTTACTAGTTTGACCTCACTACTGATGTTTTCTATTTCATATGGCTACTTTTAAAACATGTCTGCAGACTTGCATTCTGGGTTTACTTAATATGTGTCACGACGTATCAATTGCTTTTTGTCCTGTTCTCTGTTGTTTGGGTGCCTTTTTTGCATATAGAATAACCAGATTGGTGACCTTTTAAAATGGAGACTTTTTAACCCCGTTAATGTTACTCTAGCCTAAGAAGGGCTTTTTCAGGTTTACCATCCTTCCTTTTGAAAATGATCTCATTACAATTGTTCCTGTTTTCCTTTCCACTGATGTTAGTCAGTCATGTCTGCTCATGGCTCCAATCAGGCACTCTGCACTAAAATCAGATAAAATGCACTTGGAGACAGAACTGTGAGAAAGAGGCATGCAAAATGACCTCAGAACAGAAAACATGTCATTCATTGCTGCTTATCCTCTTGACTACTCGCTAACATGCCCTGTAGCAGGTCGTTGTTGTTCTTGCTTTTGCCTAACTGCACTGGGGCTGGTTTCTTTGTTCCTGCTGTAGTGGATAATGCTGACCTGTTAATCTTCTGTGAACCCTGGACCTGCGGCTGGAACAACGTGAACATATGCAGTGCTGCTCTGTCTCCTATTCTGCACTGCTACAAATGGCTATACTGGGTGATGGGCAATGCCATATGTGCACAGACCATATGGTATTTTCTGCTCCATCTATAGTTGGCTTGTTTATCATACACTGTAATATTTTGCTATATACATGTAAGTTCAGTTTCTCTTTTGGAAACTGTTTATTTGCTAGAGTTAGAGCAGTGGAAAAACTTAATTTTGCAATGAACACTTATTGGTAGCAAAGGATGCAACACAATGCTATAGAGTCAACTGAAGATAGCTCTTGAAAGGAAGATGTTAAAATGATATCTAAATCCTTATTGTTAAGGAATTGAGCAATGTACCTTGTGGGTCATTTTCATTAACCATCATTACAAGGACTGAAGCTTGGAAAACTTGCTTCCCGAAGAGTTATGTTTTCATGAACACTGAATTTTGCGTTTAAACAGGGAGAAGCACATTGTGTGCTAATTATGACTTTTGCAGCAACTTGACTGCTAACTTGAGGTCTGTGTTTGTATCCATGTTTTGCATTCTTTGAATTCATCTTGGTATAATATTCTAAAATATTTTAAACAGCAGATGTGCATTGCTTATAGATTTGTGTAAATGTTGATACACTATATACAAAATATATCTCCCATACAATGATCTGTTGACATTATTCTCTGTTGCTTAGCTTCAGACAGTAAAGTCATGACATGTGCTGCTGTTTGGAGGATGCCGAAGGAATTGGAATCAGGCAGTCATGAATCCCCTGATGATTCATCAAGTAATGCTCAAACCCTGGAGCTACTCTGTCACCTTGACAACACAGCCCATGGCAATATGGCCTGGTAGGATTCTGCATATTTTATACTCTTAGAAAAAGCCTAAAGGATGGACCTGTTCTTTTAGTTTTCTGCAGATTTATATTGTAGAGGCTCTGGCATACACTTTAAAACTATTCTATCTCTAGAAAAAAAAAAAAAGGTACAAATTGGATTTTTAGTCCCAGATGTTTCATAGATGAAAAACATTTATTATAGTCCTGCAAACACATATGGAGTAACAGCCTGTGTACTGTTTTAATGTTTCTCCTCACCTGCCTCCATCTAAAACATGCGTTGCACAAAGGTATGATACTTAGCATTTCAATCTTTTTCTGGAATATAAATTTGATGTTGCACTTTGGTCTTTGTTTTTCAGTCTTCACTCAACTGATCTGGCATAAGTGCAAGTAATTTATTGTTAAGGATAAGAATTAGTTATATTATATGGCGCCTGTTTAACTACTCTTTTCTGTTGCCTAAGAAAAGACAAGGAGAGCTGCAGTACTGCAGAGGGTATTGCAGAGGTTTGTTTCCCTTTCCTTTCTGTTCTTTAAAAGACAGTTAAATTTATCCACTGTGTATTTGCAAGTCTTTTGCTTTATGGGTATGTATATGACATGTTCCCACTGCTTCCTGTACAGATGCCAGGCAAAGAAATGTTGATACACTCAGTTCGTATTTTACCAGCTACAATGTTGTTTGACAGTTTTGGACCACATGACTATCTTCCACTAGCAGGAAAAGTTGAAACCGTAAGAATATAGTCTGCTGTAGTCCCAGGAATGTCTGTCTGTTGGAAAGAACATGGAGTAGAAGTTCATTGTGCAAGTTGTATGGTCTCTTTCAAAACTGTCAGAGGATTTTAAGAACAAAATGTGGAATAACACAGCAATTTTTTTGTAAATTAAGTGTGACAACTCTCAATTGAAACTGAACAAGGATAATGCAATATCAGTGTTGGATATTTCTGTAATAATCTAGTTATACTTAAATATATCCTAGTAGGAGTAATTTTCAATTATACCGAAAAGCAACAATACTTAAAATCAGTCTCAGTTCCCTTTCAAAATCTGGTTGCTTAAAAATTTCTATTCATTAGCTAGCTAGTAAAAAGTAAATTACAATTTGGAAGTGATAGTTAATTCAGTTGATTTTTAATGATGTCATACGTTGTACCATAAATTTTAAGCATCTGTTTCTAGCCACTGATTTCTAGTTGGAGTGTTGTAGATGAAATTTCAACTAAAAAACGTAAGCAAATACAAGGCAATATTTATTAGGTGATTCTTGGACAAGATTGGACATATCGGTGTATTCAAAAGTGTGTTGTCTAGGCTACTTTTTTCTAAAATCTTGGCTTCCTGAATGTTAAATTTCTTCATGGTACTATCTTTTAATTCTTTGCTATTCATTTTCATATTAATACTTCTCTTTATAACTTTTTATTATATTAAAAATTACCTTTTTATTGTTGAAACCTTTTGATAATTAGTTTCCAATATAGTTGGGAATATTAATTGGGTTTTGTTTTAATCTTCACCTTTTACCCCTTAAGATTTCTACTTTTTGTCTTTGAATTTTCCATAATCTCTTTCTATCTGATGCTGGGACGCCAGAACTTGTGTGTGGTAGTCTGATCACCAGAAGAGGAATAGGGGGTGTTTTGTGAATAGGGGGTGGCATGTGAATGTCAAAAATAAGTTTTTCCTTCTAATATAGCTTGTAGCAAGTTCATGTGAAATTTTCTGTCTTCTATCATCTGACTTCGTTCACTACTAGTGCTCACAAATAGCTGCTACCATTTAATACCTATTCTCTATATATCTGTGTATATATATGCATAAAGATTTGAAAATCTCCTATGTTAAAGAGAGATAAAAGATGTAAATGGAATACTCAGCATTAGTACTCATGTCATCTCAGACAAGCACAGCTGAGTTAGAGGATCTTGTTCTAGAGCAGGCTTCTCTATGCCTGCCTCAATCATAGTGGAAACAGCTCATGTAAATGAGTAAAATAAATTATTTGTGCCAAATGTGTGTCACTTAACAGGCTGTGTCCCAATGAGTGGTGCATTAACTGCAAATAGAAACTTAAATAATCTTTTCTGTTATGCATTTCAGATGTTTATAAAAATATGAAACTACTTTACACACTTATGCTACAGTTGTTGTTAGAACCAACCATGAAACAGACAAGCAATTTTTCTCAGTGCAAAGTGTAAATACTTTTCAAACTTCAACATCAGAGCAAAATTCTGGTGTACCCATTTGCTTTGCATGAGATCAGTGGTGGTCAGGCATCATACACTCCCAGTAAGAAGGGGAACACTTATACTGGATCTGTCATTCGCCTTGCCTTTAGAGCGTACTCTTGTACGTTTTGTTCCCAGAACACAGGCTGGATACTGTACCGAGATATGACAGGCAACTGAGAAGGAAATGTGCTTTTTTCCCATTCTATTTTATCTGGATTTAAGCATAACTATTTGCTTTCACTTGCTGAGGTTGTTGACTGCCTCTAAGCTTTGAATCTGGGACCCGTCAGAATTTTTACTGGAATTCTTGTATGGCATAGAGAGAATTCAGAAAATCAAGCAGATGCTTCAATTACACGAATAAATAGGCCTATTAATTGTTCTGGTTCAAGCCTAAGACTTGTTTTTCATTCTCTGCCTATTGTTCCCTATGTGAGCCAAAATGCAAAGATTTTGAGTGCAAAATTCCCAAGTGAATTGCTTCCAGAGTGAAAAACCCCAGAGATACATGGGGATTTTTGTGTTAAAAAACAACAAAAATAGCCTTTTCTGTAAATCCGTTTTGTAGATAAATTTATGTATTCACACAGTGTTGCGCATATATAACCATAGGTATGTTGGTCTGTGCAATGTTTTAAGATTCAGTAATTAAACTTGCCATTGGGTGTGTTGCAAGAAGCAGTCCAAGGTACAGTCTGGATTGGCGAGGCCAAGGAAACAGGACAGCAGTTAATTAAATTTTGATTACTTCTCTAAGTGGAATCCCTAAAACTTAAAATCTTGAAGACGTGTTTTAGGTGTAAACTACTGTTTTAGTTCTTCCTCAGTTTTTCTACAGACTTTTTGATAGAGGACTTGACAGGACAGTCCTCAGAGGAGGAGGATGCAACAAGCCATGAGAGAAAGTGTAGTCTGTGAGATCTTGAATTTGGAACTCAGCAGGGACTTTATTTTTGTCAGAAGTAGAGGGGCAAAGCTGGAGTTATTCCCCTGGCATCTGCTGGAAGCAGCTTTGCCTATATCTGCTTAACATCCTACTTCTTGCTTTCCAAATTTGGCAGGTATAAAATGGGGTAGATGCTACTCAGTAGCAAGGTACGTGTCAAAAAAGAGAGGAACAAGTCAACTAAGTTGGATGGTGGTCCATGGGGTAAATTTGGATTAAAATAAAAGCAAAATAAATAGGAGGAAAGTGTTGGATGGACAAATAGGTCAGGAATGAGGAATTAATGTTTTATGTAGAAAACAATAGTCATCTGCTAAAAAAAGTTGGAAAGGGATGAATATGTTAATAATGATAGATTACTTCATTAAGCTTCTCTACTTGCTGAAGCTGAATTATTTTACTGTCTCCCAGTCAATCAATCCTAAATATGGACTTGCAAATATTACCACATTTAAGAGAAATAAGTATCATAGGCATTTCAAGTTCTTCACATAATCCACAAAATTTCAGAGCTATCAGGATAAACATATCAGTGAAGCTGATTAGTTGTAGACAGATTAAAAAAATTATCAGTATTTAAGAATAATTCTTCCACACCTAGTTCATTCCACACGTTTACATTCTCCATCAGCCACCTTTGGTGTTACAATGTTGAAGTACAGAGCAAGTTTTTTGGAAAAACTTAATATATGACAAGTGTTTTCACTGGGAGTGTAACTTACAGCTGCTTATCAGTACTGCCACTCTCCCCTTTATATTCTGAACCTTTCTAAAATGTTAAAAATTTTAACTGTCATATCTTCTACTCCTTTCCTCTCTCTCTTTTTAATTCTGTGGGATATCCTTAATTCTTTAGAGGATTTCGCTCTCTTGAATCTTTGGTTATCCTTTATTGTAAATAAATCCATGTATTATATATAAATCCAAATGTTCAACCATTTGTTGTCTCTTTCTGTCGTTTTCTCTCGCATTTCCCCTTTTTATAATCCTCTAAAAGTCTGGAACCAGTAGAGTAATTTATAACAGTCATGTCTCTCTTTCATTCCCTTGAAAATGTGAGGATTTTTGGTAATTTTAAGTGGTTAGTACTGTGCAAGTTTAAGACTTTATTCAGTGTAATCACATATATTAGGGAATAATTGTGATTCATTAATTGGATAGTGTAATAATAAAACATTATGTGTCCAGTTTATTATGTTAATTTATTTGACTCTAGTCTTGTAAAGGCAAGGGAAACTTAATGAAAGTAAAATCTGACACTGAAGCAAATACTAATGGAAAGACACGCTGTCTTTCATGTAGGTGGACTTACTCTATATATTCGGTTAACTTATGAGCGCTTCTGATAATTTCAATAGATTTCATATGCTTAAAATGAAAGCTAATTTTGTTGATATCTTTGCAGTTGTTTGTGTTTATCTTGGACTCATAACTCATGATACAGAATATAGTACAGAAATTGTTACTCTACAAGTGAAAAACAGGGTTTGTAGAGTACTATTTCACTTCTCCTTCCCAACTTGAAAGTAGTTTTTCGCTTCAGTTCTCACTGTGCTGTCATATTCCCTAGTTTAACTGCCAAATTTCTTGATGTTTCCCCACTGAAAGAAAACTGAACTATTTTTAAAAGGGTTTTTTTCCTATTTATAATACCCCTTTAGCTATTCTTAGCACTAAAAAAATTAGGGTTGCAGTCTGCCTCAACTGATTTTTGCAGGTTAGATAAATACCAGCTATTTGTATTTTCAGTTTTCATTGAATTACTTAGAAGGTTGTTGGGAAATGTTAAAAAAAATGATGTTGCAGAACTGTGGAAGAAGT